CGCTGGTGATCAAAAGAAGTTGTGTGTAACACTTCATTAGTCCCACTGTGTAATAATTAACAACTAAATGAGATTTTATGCTGAGAGCACACAGACAGCAGCTCTTGGGGGGGACAGGCAAACTAACAATTTGGGCGTGGACTCTGTTTCAAAACAGATTGTCATCATTCACAGTTTTATGGGCCTTGCATCAATTGTATAGTAAGTAACTCATTTGGCCAGTGCAAGTAAAACTCTCCTGCTGTTAGGGACTGAACTGCCACAAATTGATGGCGCAGTCCAACTCTGTAGCCCTACAGCCATCTCAAACCTCAGCATTTCAGCGATTCTGGCTTCTGAGTAACTCTGATTTTCATCACTCTGCTGCTGGTGGCTGTGCCTTGGGTCATAAATTCCAAAATTCTCTTTTTGTCTCTTTCCTCCTTTAAAATGCTCCTTCAAGCGTCTCTCCTTAGTGTTACCTGCAGCTCAGTTAGTAGTAGTCTTATCTCTTGAGTCACAACGTTTTAACTTAAAGTCAGGAAAGCTCAGCTGACACTCCCAGTGTAGTACTGAGGGAGTGCTGCACTGTTGGAGATGCTGTCTTTCAGTTGAGACATTAAACTGAGACCCATCTGCCCCCTTAGGTGGATACAAATGTTCCCACGACACTATTTTGAAGACAAACAGGGGAATTCTGAAGAGGATTTGAAACATTAAATCTGTTTCTATCTCCATAGGATGCTGCTAGACCTGCTGAGTTTCTCCAGCATTCCTTGTGTTTGTTTTAGATTTCCAGCATCCTTGGTATTCCACCTTTATTCAAGTTCTCTCGATGTCCTGGTCAATATTTATCCCTCAGTCAATATCATGAAAACAAATTATCTGATCAATATCACACTGGTATTTGTGGAAGCTTGCTGTGCACCTGTTGGCTATTGTATTTCTGACACTACACCAGTGGCAACACTTCCAAAAGTATTTATTTAATTGTAAAGTGCTTTGAGATGCCTAGTGTTGGTGTTAAAGGTAAAGTCGACATAGTCCCATTCTCTGATAGAGAGAGAGAGAGATGACTGGTGGTGGTTTAACCTGAGGGGCACCATAGCTCAGATGGGTTGAGGTTGAGCAGGACAGTCCATCAAGGTTCCAACATTCAGTGCAGGAATTAAACACGTGCTGTTGGCATTACCCTGCATCACAAACCAGTCATCCAGCCAACTGAGCTAACGGACACCTAGTGTTTGTGATAAGCACTATATAAATGCAAGTCTTTTTCTTTGACTAAGCTTTAGTTTGCCAATCCTAATATCTCCTTACAATAGCTCAATCAGATATTATTTGATAGCACTTCCATGAAGCATGTTGGGGATGCTTTACTGTGTTAAAGTGCTTTATATATGCAAGTGTTCTAACTTGGAATTGCTCTGAATTCACTTGAGTTTTAAATGCACCCTGGTCACATTGCAATTCTGAACACTGGCACAAGTTTGTATTTTGAGTAAATGTTCCCAATGCAGGAGATGGGCATTGCCATTAAATATGGCCACCACGATCCATCTATGTCTGTGCAGTTGTATCAGTGATGTCACACCATTCACCAAATTCATAAATAACTGCTTGTTGCAAAGAATTTCTTCAACATTAAGTTTACTTGTATTATTGCTGTACGCATGCAGTTAATGAAGCTTTAAATTTGTAACTGTGTTTTCTCATTCGTTTCCTACAATAAGGAGAAGGAAGGATTTGGTTAGATGATGTGAATCATAGAATCCCTACAGTGTGGAAGCAGGCCATTTAACCCATTGAGTCAACACTGACGCTCCAAAGAGCATCCCACCCAGACCCAACACTCTACCCTGTCCCCATAACCCTGCATTTCCCATGGCTAACCTACCCATCCCTGGACAGTATGGGCAATGTCCCATGGCCAATCCACCTCGCCTGCATATCTTTGGACTGTGGAGGGGAGCACCCAGAGGAAACCCACGCAGACACAGGGAGACTGTGCAAACTCCACACAGACAGTTGCCCAAAGCTAGAATCAAACCCTGGTCCCTGGCACTGTGAGGCAGCAGTGCTAACCACTGATCCACTGTGCCACCCTTGTGGGATGATAAATGTTAGCATTAAGTTGTGGAAATAATTTGAAGATGTTACTGATGTTTTCAAGTAATTGCTAAGCATCATTCCAATTTTGCTGTGCCAAGTGGTGGTGTTGGCCATAACCTTTCGTTTATCCATTCATTAGATGTGAGCATTGGGGTGTGAGTATCAGTCCAGGAGATGAGCTCAAACATCTTGGCTGACACTGCGGTGCAGCATGGAGCGAGGGTGCCCTGCTGGAGGGGCCATCTTTTGGATGGGACATTAAGCTGAGAACCTGTCTGTCCTCTCAGGTGAATGATCCCTTGGCACTGTTTCAAAGAAGAGCAGAGGACTTAACCCTTATGTCCTTGATATATTCAATATTTATCCTTGAATCAACATCATTAAAATAGATTATCTACTCATTATCACAATGGTGTTTGTGGGACCTAACCCTATGCAAATTGGCAGCCATGTTTCCTACATTGCAACAGTGATTGCAGATCTTGATGTTCTGCCTGTCCTACCAATCGGAGTAAGTTCCTGGATTGTTTAAGAAATTATCCATATCCAACAGTCGCAGCAGTATTAGGAGGTCGGTGATATTGTGGTTACGTTACTGCACTAGTAACCCAGACAGTGTGAGTTCAATTTGCTGTAAGGAATTTTCAACTCAGTTTAAAAGCAAATCTGAAGATACTGAGATCAGTTAAAGTGATCGTGAACCTGTTTGTCATAACAACTTAAGTGATTTGACGATTTTCATTAAGTGAAGGAAATCTAGTGCCCTGACCCCATCTGGCCTTATATATATATGTCAAGTCCCACAGCAAGATTATAGAATCATAGAATTCCTACAGAGCAGAAAGATGACATTCAGCCCATCGGATCGGCACTGACCCTCCAAAGAGCATCACATCCAGACTCTTGCATTTACCATGGCTAATCCACCTAGCCTGCACGTCTCTAGTCACTATGGACAATTTGGTATGGCCAATCCACCTAAGATAGTTGATCTTGAACGTCCTTGAAGTGGCCTAGCAAGTCACTCAGTTGCATCTGGCGGCTGCAATGCAGCATTTCAGTAAGGACGTCCATCACTGTTTTCTCCAGGCAACTCAGGATGGGTATTAAAGAGTGGTCTTGACAGTGATGCCCACACCTTGAGGATGAATGTAGAGAAAATGTGGAGCTTTCGGTGAATCTAACACTGACTGAATGTTAAGTCTTACAAGTGTTTGGGAAATTTTCACAGCACTTCACCAAAAGGGACCAATGAACTTAAGTACAGACTTACAAACAACCCTGTCTCCCAGATACAGCAATGTGACTATTGAATTTCATCCAGGCACCTTGAAGCCTAGCCAATGCATTGTAAATCAAGAGATCAGCAGCATACAAGCTGCTTTTGATCAAGGCGCATGCTGCAATTTTACACTGGTCTTTACTTTATGGGGCTAATCATTTTCCACTTTTCACCCATCCCTACCCTATTGTGTACCATCAAGCAATTTCACTGACCATTCGGAGGCCATCAGTAATCTCTCTAGCATGGCACAATGGCGTAGCAAACTTCATCACAACACATCATTGGTGCAAATTGAAAAACATTTTTGTGTGCAGACTGACTGGTTAATTTTTAATCACTTCCCAATGACTAACCACAGCTTAAATATTACGCAGCTAGAAAATGACCATCTCTTGCCAAGTCACACATGGTAAAACATTAACTTAAGTCTGCTCCTTTTAGGTACTGACCTACTTCAAACCATTTAAATCATCATGAAAAGAAAACACAGAGCAGTCATTAACTAAAGCCCTAATCTCCAAAAAAAGTGATTCTTTTGGGTGGTTCAGCAAATCAAACCTGTTCCCTCTCCACCGTGGAGTACGTAGCACCTTTTACTAGCCAGTGTTCAACTCATCGATTGGCATTTTCTACATTTTCTTCAGCATTACTGCAGATTAACCTTTATGAACTGGAAAATAAGGAATGAGAGATCCTATTATTCAGTGTCTGAGTTCGTTTTGTCCCAAAATATTATGTTCTTCCTGTGAAAATGATATGAACAGCCCAAGTATGGCTGTCACCTATCTTCATGCATTGAAACAGCTGCAGTGCACGTTTATGGTTAGTTCTGAAGAAGTGTCATACCAGACTCAAAACATTAACTCTGTTTCTCTCTCCACAGTTGCTGCTAGGTTTGCTGAGTTTCTCCAGCAATTCTCTGTGTACGTACATGGTCTTTCTGACTGCAAAGAACAGGACCACCATGCAAGCTTGATGCTGAAATACGATGCATCAAAGCCATCCTGTGGGATAATGGTGACCCTAATCAGATAATTTCATGCTATATATTGTACAAATTCATGAACAGCCCTAAGGCTGTCGTTTTGATTCTGAAAAGTGTCAGTTGACCTTGGATTAAGGTGAGGTATCTCAAATGTTTGAGCAACAGGTGAAGTTAGCTGTCTCGTGCTTTTGTAAGTGAGTATTCAAGTGAGTGGTATTCGCTAGTGATGGGATGTTGCTGTCAAACCGAAAAGATCTTCATAGAAGTCCCTACAGTGTGGAAACAGGCCCTTTGGCCCAACAACTTCACACCAACCCTCAGAGCATCCTACCCAGACCCATTCCCCTATAACTCACCTAATCTACACATCCCTGGACACTACGGGCAATTTAGCATGACCAATCCACCTACCCTGCACATCTTTGGATTGTGGGAGGAAACCCACACAGCCACAGGAAGAATGTGCAAACTCCACAGGTGGGATTGAACACAGGTCCCTGGTGCTGTGAGGCAGCAGTGCTAACCACTGAGCCACCATGTCGCCCACAAAACAACCCTTGCTGACGTGAACAGCGAGCAAGCAAGTTCCGTCCCCGTCCATGCAGAAGCCTGTCACTGGTAACAAAGGGGCACTGCTGCTGTTTCTGCCTGGTTTTGAACCAAGGACCTTCTGCGTGAAAAGCTAACGTGATAACCACTACACTACAGAAATGTGACCTATTCTGCCAATCACACAAATGAGCAATATTTTATATGACGTTCAGTGCCAGTGTGATGTCGGCTGTACATCCCAAATTCTGGAAGGTCACATCATAAACAGCATGTCCCTTTGGCAGTTCACCACAGTCAGGGTTCTGACTGTACCCGACCAGCTTAAGCTTGCGAAACCTGCAACACTGTGTCCAACATTCGATGTGATTCCGCAATTGGACAATATTTGCTAGATATCCTGATTGTGTGAAGAATTACACTGACAACCAATTTAGTATTGTCAGTCAGACTTTTGGCACACTTGTGTGTACTGGAAGCTATGTATATTAATTGACAGGGACCTGTACTTTGCAAATAGAAAAAAAATGTACATGCACTGCATCTATTTCAATGCAACAAAACAGGTGACAGCCATTCGCTAGTTTATTTCTCAAGACAATGCCTTGACCAGTCAGAGACTACCTACTTGGTTTAAAATTTAAAACAAAGCCAGGCAATTGTCAATCATCATTAATTGGTGCATTGTCCATGGCAATACCTCTACTAATCAGAGTACACTTGCCAGTCAATCAGATCTCTACTTTCATACAGTAAATTGGTATTTCATGTGGTTTGTCCTGATGAGTGCAAAACAAAAAACTTGTGCCTTTCTTTTAGTGATACCTTTCAAGTACTGTGCTTAAAAAAAAGACAATTGAAGTTAGCAATGGTTGAGATTGAAATGTTCACTTCCGTAGGGTTGTGGTGGAGGTTCGGGGAAGCCTGTTCTATCTCTGATGGTAACTTTCTGGGCACAAAGTCAATTAGTGCATCACTGAACTGCTTGATGATGCCCTAATGGAGCTGTTTCTCCTCTCAGGTACTGCTCTGTGCAAATTGGACATCGCACTCATTGTAACGGAGTCCTGACCCATGCAACCCAAAACTGTGGAATGTAAGGTTTTAATTCTGCAGTGAGGTCAATGTGAATGGTTGAACTGTTTTCAGACCAGTATCACCTTCAGTTATCAGCTAGCATTCCCCGTAATTTCCTTCCCAGCTGTGCAGGTCTCCGAGGCCTGTGATTGCAACAACCTCCAGACACCGATTTCTGTGTACGGGACATCGGAGCCGCTGCATGTGCTCATAGTCATGCAGTTTAGAGGGAGTGTTGGTGTCTGCTGTGGCTCAGGTGATTGCATTCTAGCCTCTGAGTCAAAAGATTCCAGAGATTTGAGCATCTAATCCAAGCTAACATTCCTGGTGCAGGATTCAGGGAGCGCTGCATTATGTGAGATGCTGAGATTATCTGGATGAGATGTAAAAACAAGGCCTTTCTCAACTGCCTTTGTATGCAAAGGATCCTGCAGCATTTTGCAAAGTAAAGGGGAGTTCTCCCTGGTTCCCTGGGCCAAAATATATCCTTCGTACAACATCCCTAAAACAGGTGATCTCATTGCTGTTTGTAAGAACTTGCTGTGTGCAAATTGACTGCTGTGTTTCCTACATTACAACAGCAGCTACACTTCAATAACACTTAATTCGCTGTAGAGTGCTTTTGGACATCCTGAGATTGTGAAAGATGCTATAACAATGCAAGCATTTTCACTTTTATGATGTGTCCTGTTCCATGAGGCAGTGAGTTCAGTTAGAAACAGGATAAAAATGCTGCATATTTCTGTTTCCTGTCATTAATCTTTAATCATCTAAAGAGTCGCTGCCTTGATGAGATTTTGACCTTGTGGAACGGATACAAATGCAGGCAGGTATGTTCAACATTCAGCCCTGCTCAACTGTCACCATCCTAGTGTTTCTGAGCCATTTCAACTGTGTACCTCAAGTTACTTCCATAAAACTGCCCAAAGGAAAGGACATCTTGCCAGACATCTTTGTATCATCCCCTCATGAAGGCCATCAATCTTTGGCTTAGGAAGAGCAAGAAATGACAGTCCACTGTTGGAATCCACAGTCTGGTCCCTCCTGGGTCATTCATGCTGATTGCCTTTTATTGGTTCCTTGCTGAGATATTTGTATCATCAATAGCCACAATTGATGGTGAGGTGCTAGAAGCCTGGAGGTTGGCTAACTATTTAAGAAAGGTGGTAAGGAAAAGCCAGGAAACTATAGACCAGTGAGCTTGACATTGGTGATGGGCAAGTTGTTGGAGGGAATCCTGAGGGACAGGAATAACATGTATTTGGAAAGGCAAGGACTGATTAGGGGTGGTCAACGTGGCTTTGTGCATGGGAAATCATGTCATACTAACTTGATTGAGTTTTTTTGAAGGAGTAATGAAGAGGGTTGATGAGGGCAGAGTGGTGGATGTGATCTATATGGACTTCAGTGAGGCATTGACAAGGTTCTCCATGGTAGACTGTTTAGCAAGGTTAAATCACATGGTGTAGAGGGAGAACTAGCCATTTGGATACAGAACTGGCTCAAAGGTAGAAAACAGAGGGAGGTGGTGGAGGATCCGAGACAACAAGGTGCAGAGCTGGATGAACACAGCAGGCCAAGCAGCATCATAGGAGCAGAAAGGCTGACGTTTCGGGCCTAGACCCTTCATCAGAAACGGGGGAGGGGAAGGGGGTTCTGAAATAAATAGGGAGAGAGGTGGTGGAGGGTTATTTTTCAGACCGGAGGCCTGTGACCAGCTCCAGCGGTGTGCCACAAGGATTTGTGCTGGGTCCACTGCCTTTTGTCATTTATATAAATGATTTGGATGTGAACATAGGAGATATGGTTGGTAAGTTTGCAGATGATACCAAAATTAGAGGTGTAGTGGACAGCGAAGGTGGTTACCTCAGAGCACAATGGGACCTTGATCAGATGGGCCGAGGAGTGGCGGATGGAGTTTAATTTAGATAAATGTGAGGTGCTGCATTTTGGAAAGGCAAATCAGGGCAGGACTTATACACTTAATGGTGAGGACCTGGGGAGTATTGCTGAGCAAAGAGATCTTGGAGAGCAGGTTCATAGTTCCTTAAAAGTGGAGTCCCAGGTAGACAGGGTAGTGAAGAAGGTGTTTGGTATGCTTGCCTTTCTCAGTCAGCGCATTGAGTGTCGGAGTTAGGAGGTAATGTTGCAGCTGTACAGGACATTGGTTAGGCCACTTTTGGAATACTGCGTGCAATTCTGGTCTCCCTGCTATAGAAAGGATGTTGTTAAACTTGAAAGGGTTCAGAAAAGATTTACAAGGATGTTGCCAGGGTTGGAGGGTTTGAGCTATAGGGAGAAGCTGAATAAGCTGGAGCTATTATCCCGGGAGTGTCGGAGGCTGAGGGGTGATCTTATAGAGGTTTATAAAATGAGGGGTATGTATGGGGTGAATAGCCAAGGTCTTTTCCCCAGGATGGAGGAGTCCAAAACTAGAGGACATTGGTTTAAGCTGAGAGGGTAAAGATTTAAAAGGGACCTGAGGGGCAACTTTTTCACGCAGAGGGTGGTGCGTGTATGGAACGAGCTGCCAGAGGAAGTGGTGGAGGCTGGTAAAGTTACAACATTTAAAAGCCTTCTGTATGGGTACATGGATAGTAAGGGTTTAGAGGGATATGGGCTAAATGCGGGCAAATGGGACGAGATTTATTTAGGAGATCTGGTTGGCATGGGCGAGTTGGAGCGAAGACTCTGTTTCCATGCTGTACAGCTCTATGACTCTATCGTTCCTTGATCACACAGTGATTGCTGATTGTCTTTATTATTTGGGAGATAAATGACGGATACACAATGATAACTTTGAAATGTTACAAGACAATAAGTAGCAGAAACTCTCCAAGTTCATTGCTGTGGTAATAAGAGTACAAAGGAATGTTTCATGTGCTAAACCAAGTTTGTGCAAGAAGCATTTTCAGAATGACAGATTATTTACAGAATACAGCAATAAATTAAGATCCTGTGTAGTGCCGACTGACAATTGTGGCATAGTACATGAAGCTTTTTATTGTTCATTATAGTAATCAGTGACACTCATCAGTGAAGGGGACGACTGAAGGCCTCTGGATTTAACTTGTCTTATGAACTAGTCAGTGTTAAGTTTTAGGAATTTATGAGTTTGGGAATTATTTTTTGCGTTGTCTTTTAACCATGTTGTGCTCAAATTGTTTGCCATACTTCCTATATTATAACACTTCAAAGGTACTTTATTGGCTGTAAAGTGCATTAGGACATCCTGAGGTCATGAAAGGCACTATAAAAATGTGAATTCTTTCTTTTCAAGTTAGTGTCCTTGGCATATGCTGCAGCCTGCAGAAAAAATCTCTTGATTGTAGAAAGCCAAAGGGAATGCATCAAGCTACAGGACGGCAGTGACAGAGTTTGGTTGCTGCTTTGCCTCAAATTTCCAGCACAAACTCAAAAACAAACTGCAGTTACGTTAGCACTTAGTATGTCCTAAAACACATCCTGAAGCAAATCAGAGCCAATTGAAGAGCAGAGATAACACAGTGTGGAGCTGAAGGCTGCATCAGAGGAGCAGGAAAGCTGACGTTTCAGGTGGAATTGAATCCATGTCCCTGGCGCTGTGAGGTAGCGGTACCAACCACTGTGCCGCCTTTATATATTGGTTACAGGGATTTTGAAGATGAAATGAACATGCTGTTTTCTTGGTTTTAAATATCTCATAACTCTCTGAATAGTTTGGTTTGCTACGGAGGCCATACAAGACCACAAGAACACCACACACTATCTCCAGCCCAACTTTACCAGAGTGGTCACAGTAGCTGTTACAATCATCTGGGTTACTGACTGGGCAGATTCTCAGTCACATTTCTTATTGTGTGATTGCATATTTATTGATTCATGTTGGGCATTTGTCAACGCTGAGCATGGCTAGAAACAGGTGATGCTTCTGTTATCGAATAGCTGGCTCACAAAGAACACCATTTGGATTGAGATAGCAGAGGGCTACTGGCATTCAACTGACAATGCCCTTAAATGAAAGGCAAAAACTGTAAAAACAATTGAACATTCC